TCAGTGTGTGTTTTACTGATAAGGGGGAAAGGCACCAGAAGCTTCTTTAATTTTTGTCATAAAAGCAGGGCAGAGTGTATTTCATGATTTCTGTTTGTGACTACTGTGCACTGTAGGGTTTTCCCCCTTGGAGGATAGTGAGGAGAAGGGTCTGGTATGAAGAATCAGGTGATGTGGGGCTCTGCACTTTACCTAGACTACCTGCTGAACTGTTTAAGGAGTCTGGAAGAAGACAGTTTCTATAAATAACTTGACTAAATAGGTGAGTTTGTATCTCACTTGGACCTTATTTTGGTTAATCAAGGTTCAGCTCAATTGTGTATCTGTCTGCCTGTGTGTGTATGAATATATAAAGATACACAAGCCGTGTTTATATGTGGCCCAATCATTTCACCTGAATATCTGTGATTAGGTATAGTGTTAACATTTATTATATCCTAGTTGAGTTATGATTTTATAACAGTAAAATGTAGCTTTTAGTGCTGATCTATGACTTTTTATAGTTGCCTTAAAGTATCTCAGAGATACCTTAATTTGTTTAAATAATCTGAAAAATGAGTTTGACTCTATTTTAAGTTCAAAAAACTGAAATCTAAGTGAACACTGCATTTGGTGTAAATAAAAACCGAAAATTATCATTTACTTCTTTTTTTAGCAAGATTTTTTTAGAGATTTATTTATTTATTTGAAAATCAGAGTTAGAGGGAGAGAGAAGTCTTCTATCTACTGGTTCACTCCCCAGATAGTTGCAACAGCTGGAGCTGTGCCGATCTGAAGCCATGATCCGGGAGCTTCTTCTGGGTTTCCCATGTGAATGCAGGGGCCCAAGCACTTGGGCCATCTTCTGTTGCTTTTTCAGGCCATAGCAGAGAGCTGGATCAGAAGTGGAGCAGCCAGGACTTGAACCAGTGCCCATATGGGATGCTGGCCCTGTAGGCGGTGGCTTTACCTACTATGCCACAGTGCCGGCCCCTCATTTACTTCTCCTTTTTTTTTTTTTTTAAATAATTTGTTCAACTTGCTTAATTTTTAAAGATTTATTTATTTATTTGAAAGGCAAAGTTGCACAGAGAGAGAAGGAGAGGCAGAAAGAGAGAGGGAGGTTCTCCACCCACTAGTTCACTCCCCAGTTGGCCGCAACTGCCAGAGCTGTGCCAATCCGAAGCCAGGAGCTAGGAGCTTCCTCCAGGTCTCCCATGTGAGTGCAGGGACCCAAGTGCTTGGGCCATCTTTTACTGCTTTCCCAGGCCACAGCAGAGAGCCAGATCAGAAGTGGAACAGCTGGGACTCAAACCAGCGCCATTTGGGATGCCTGCACTGCAGGCAGTGACTTTACCCACTATGCCACAATGCCGGCCCTTCATTTACTTCTTAATATCTTTTTTTTATACTAGCTTATGACATTAAGATAAAATAATTGGATTCTTGCTCCTGTGTCTATTTTATCAGTATTAAGTATGTAAAATCTTTTTGCCATGTACTTATACTCCACTAGTTAAAAGTTAATTAGGGGCCTGCGCCACGGCTCAATAGGCTAATCCTCCGCCTTGCGGCGCTGGCACACTGGGTTCTAGTCGTGGTCGGGGCACCGGATTCTGTCCCGGTTGCCCCTCTTCCAGGCCAGCTCTCTGCTGTGGCCAGGGAGTGCAGTGGAGGATGGCCCAAGTGCTTGGGCCCTGTACCCCATGGGAGACCAGGAGAGGCACCTGGCTCCTGGCTTCAGATCAGCGCAGTGCACTGGCCGCAGCGGCCATTGGAGGGTGAACCAACAGCAAAGGAAGACCTTTCTCTCTCTCTCTCTCTCTCTCTCTCTCTCTCTCACTGTCCACTCTGCCTGTCAAAAAAAAAAAAAAGTTAATTAGGAATTAGAAAAGTTAACTAGATGATCCTATTTTGATTTTTTTCTCCTTATTACAGTTGAAAATAGAGGTTTGTATATTATGTTTGAATTAATATTCATTTAAAAACTAATAAATTTTGTGCACCATTCGATAGCTCAGTTGGTAGAGTGGAGGACTGTAGAGTGGACAAAAACTAATAAATTTATTGCTGTTTAAGACTCAGATTTATGGGGAAAATGGATATAATATGTGCAAGGCAGCTTGTATCTTAAAATTAAGTAGAACTAGCAAAAATCTTGTTAGATGTACTATCAACCCTTACTAAAAAGACCTCATAACAAGATTGAAAGTAAGATTTTCTTTCACATTATTTTTTGAGTTTGTTTTAGTGGAATAGTGATTTTTTAAAAGATTTTATTTATGTATTTGAGAGGCAGAGTTACAGCCAGACAGAGGGAAAGATTTTCCATCCGCTGGTTCATTCACCTAATGGCTACAACAGCTGGAGCTGGGCTAACCCAAAGCCAGGAGCCAGGAGCTTCTTCTGGGTCTCCCACATGGGTGCAGGTGCCCAAGGACTTGGGCCATCCTCCTCTGCTTTCCCAGGCCATCAGCACAGAGCTGGATTGGAAATGAGATGGCTGGGACATGAACCAGCACCCACATGGGATGCTGGCACTGCAGGTGGAGGCCTAGCCTACTATGCCACAGTGCTGGCCACAGAATAATGATTTTATAAGCCATTGTATCCTATATACTGCTAAAGGAACAGCTATATAACTTTTGTTAATTTGTGTCTGTGGAATGAAGAGTCATAAAACTCTTCATTTCTTAAAGAGTAGGATATGAGTATTTAGCAGCATAAAGGATACTGAAACATACCTAGGTACTTAAAAGAGTTTGTAGAAAATGGAATTAAAAGATAAGTTCATTTTGATGCAGGAGAAAAATGCCTATTATTTCATAACATAAATTTTTCATGAACTTTTTTGGGGTCAGAATCTCCTGAGGGCCAGTACTGTGGAATAGTAGCTTAAGCCTTTGTCTTTTTGCATCAAAATAAACTTACCTTTTAATTCCATTTTTCTGGAAATTGTTTGAAGTGCCCTAATATCTGTAGATAGCAGTGTAGGTGCTGCTGTTTGAAGTTATTACTGCTGTGGCACGTGAAAATGAACCTGGTTAGTAGATTGTATTGATGTGTCTCTTGAGTTAAAGGTAATAAGATATCTTCATGTGAACTTCTAGATGACATTCTGTTGAATAGGATTTTTTTTTGTTTTATTTTTTGACTAGACAGCATTAAAAAAAAATGACGTCTGTTTTTAGGCAATTTAAAACCTTTATCAAAAATTTACATCTCATTCATATAAAGATAAACAAAGATAAAGGCAAAGAGAAATCAATATTTAAAAATACATTTTCTGTGAGTTTTTTTGAAAAAAGAGTTTCAGAGAGAGAGAGAGAATCTTCCATCCGCTGGTTCACTCTCCAAATGGCCACAATGCACTGGGTTGTGCCAGGCCAAAACCAGGAACTTCATCTGGGTCTCCCATATCAGTTTATGGGTCCAAGCACTTGGACTGTTCTCTTCTGCTTTCCCAGGCGCATTAGCAGGGAGCTGGATCGGAACTGGAGCAGCTGGGACTTGATCTGGTGCCCATGTGGGATGCTGGCATTGTAGGTGATAACTTTACCTGCCATACTACAGGACTGACCCCTCTGAACTTTTGTTTCAAGACAGGTTTACTTGGTTTTTTTGAAAGGTAAAGTGACAGAGGAAGAGACAGACATCTTCCTTCTGTTGGTTCACGCCCCAAATGCCCACAGTGGCCAGAGTTGTACCAGGCTGAAGCTTGGAGCCAGGAACTCCATTTGGGTGTGCTAGTTGGTTGTCAGGGGACAAAGTACTTGAGTCTCCATCTGCTGCCTCCCAGGATGCATTAGCAGGAAGCTGGTACACAAGTAGCCAGGACTCACACTCTGATAAGGGATGCTACGTAACTCACTAGTTGCTGACATACATTGTATGTATAACATACTATGTATGTTGTTGGTTTGTGAATAGGTGACCAATGGTTATTTAATTTTAAAAATTTACTTGAAGGACAGAATCCCCATCCACTGGTTCACTCCCTAAATGCCTGCAGTGGTGAGGACTGAAGTCAGGAGCCAGGAACTGAATCCAGGTCTCTAGTAGGGGTGGCAGGAGAGCCATCATGGCTGCCTCACAGGTTCTGTGTTGATAGGAAACTGGAGCCATAAGTCACAGCCAAAAATCACACCCAAGCATTTCAGTGTGGGACATAGGCAGCTTTTAAAATAAAAGTTACTTGTTTTTGTTGTTGAAAGGCAAAGAAGAAGAGACAGATGGAGAGAGTTCATTCCCCACATGCCTAAAGCAGCCACAGCTGGGCCAGATCAAAGCCAAGAGTCTAGATCTCAATCCAGATTTCCTGTGTAGGTGGCAGGGACCCAAGTACTTAGGAGCCATTATCTGCTTACTTCTATGTACATTAACAGGAAACTGAATTGAAAGTGGAGTAGCTGGAACTTGAACCAGGCACTCTGATGTGGGATGTGGCCATACCAAGGCCTGCTGTGGTTGCCAACATCCTATCCTGTGTTGAAGCCACTAGACTGCATGCTCACCCCAACAAACATAGTTCATAGATGGCGATTGTATTGATGCTTTTAATCTGAAGTCTAACAGAGTGTTAGCCTACCATGGTGACTTCTGTACTGAAGGTTGACGATGACTTGCTGGGAAATGGCAGATTTTGATCAGCAAATTATTCAGAGTAGTGTTAAAAAGCATGATGTTTCAATCCAGTGGGATAATTTGGAAACTGGTATTTTTGTAGGTAAGAATGCAGTTGCCATTATAGTGAACATTTAAAAGAGAAGTCAAGTTATTTCTTCTTTTGTTTCTGATGGTACCAGAAGTTGTGATGACATTATAGTTAGCAGATTAGTTCCGAATTTCCTTTGGTGCATGCATATATAGAGTTATCTGGTAAATATGCAACCCTTTCCCCGGTAGTTCTCCAAGTAATAGTAATCTCAAATGCAATTAAATAATCTTCTTATTCTGATAGACAAGCAAAAGCTGGATCACTTACCAGTAACTGGAGTTCTCCTATTGGGTAATCTCCACAGATCCACATTCTTTGAAGTTATTGTGAATGCCTCGAGGACCGAGGGACCGTTGCAATTTCCAATTTCAGGAAGGTAAGCAAGTGCGCTGAAGCATGTCTCTAGCATCTCCCAGTCTCTCCCCAACTCTCTGACATGTGCGTCTGTACTGCATGCCCCTCAGTTCCGGTGGCCGCCGTCAGAAGAGTCTCAGGCTGCACCGAGGGCGCGAGAGTGGATCTGTGAGGCAAAGACCCAATAGGAGAACTCCAGGTCCTGGTAAGTGGTCCAGTTCTCACAGACTTGAGGTGTGTTTTCTCACGTTTCTTCTCTTCAGAAGGTGTTTGTTTAATTGTAAAAAATGAAAGTTGTTTGGCATGGCTTCTTTTTGTATGTTTGATGAGGATTATGGAAATTATTATATGGATGATAATAGATGTGTGAGTAAAAAGCAGTGGTTTTAAAGTGTGTTATTTATATAGTAACATTTTCTAAAAAAAATGTATGTTTACTAGCTTTAGGTAGACAGTATGATAGTTATAAAGCAAAGTAGGGGGAAGCTGTAGTTGAATTCTTTCATAAATGTTTTTATGGTGTTGCTTTTATTCAGGTGAATCCTAGCGCTTTAGAATTTGTACACATTCCAAATTTAGTGAGATTCTATTGGCACACTTGTGCTGAACAGAAAAAACAGTTTTAAAGTACTTTTTAATGATACGGTTTCCAGTGTACCTTTTAACTTGACTGCAGATATACTGAAAAGAGAGTTTAGGGTGTGGTACAATTACATTTGCACTTCCTTGTTTGTAAATGCAAGGGCTTATTGGTGGTGAAGTGTGGCAGAATTGGTTCAGTTTGAGCTCTCTGATCCTGCAGACTTCAGATAATGAATGTATTGAGTTGCCTTATAAATGTTACAACTGCAATGTTTCTTGTTTTTCTCTCCAACCCTACTACTTTTAAAGCATTACCATTGCTACTTTTTTTAAAGAGATTTATTTATTTAATTGAAAGGCAGAGAGGCAGAGGCAGAGAGACAGAGAAAGAGAGAGAAAGGTCTTCCATCCGTTGGTTCACTCCCCAGATGGCCACAGTGGCTGGACCTGCGCTGATCCGAAGCCAGGAGCCAGGAGCTTCTTTCAGGTCTCCCACATGGGTGCAGGGGCCCAGGGACTTGGACCATCTTCTACTGCTTTCCCAGACCATAGCAGAGAGCTGGATCAGAAGTGGAGTAGCCGGGATTCAAACAGGTGCCCATATGGGATGCCAGCACTGCAGGTGGTGGCTTCACCTGCTACGCTACAGCACTAGTGCCTACCATTACTACTTTTAAAAGGGCATTTTCATCGATGGAGCCTGCAGTGGCACCCTTTTACAGCTGTTTTCAAAAATTCTCGCCTATTTGCCGAGTATTCAATGCCTCTCATAGTCCAGTTCCATCTCATTTACCCAGCCTTGATTTCCTTCTTTGAAACTTTTGTTTCAAACAAAACTGTTTGTTTCAAACAAACAGTTGTCCTGTTTGTCCTTTGGTTTCTGCTTTTCCCATTTTCTTCATATGACCCTCTGTTCATCCAGCTCTCTTTGTTCCATGTATGCCAGCATCTTTGTCAGCCCAGCTTCCTCAGTGGAGGAGTGGGGTTTCTGTGAAATTGCATTACTTCCTGAAACGTGCTTTGTGTAGACGCTCATGTTACCTAGTGTTTGACTGTAGTTATCTGTGTGACAGTTTAGCCTCAGGTATTACCTCCAGGTTGTTTTGCTATTTTTAAGATGCATGTAAAACTCTTGGCCGACGCTGCGGCTCACTAGGCTAATCCTCTGCCTGCGGCACCGGCACCCCGGGTTCTAGTGCCTGTTGGGGCGCCGGACTCTGTCCCGGTTGCTCCTCTTCCAGTCCAGCTCTCTGCTGTGGCTCGGGAGTGCAGTGGAGGATGGCCCAAGTGCTTGGGCCCCTGCACCCGCATGGGAGACCAGGAGGAAGCACCTGGCTCCTGGCTTTGGATCAGCGCAGTGTGCTGGCCGCAACATGCCAGCCATAGCGGCCACTTGGAGGGTGAACTAACGGAAAAAGGAAGACCTTTCTCTCTTTCTCTCACTGTCCACTCTGCCTGTCAAATAAATAAATAAATAAATAGATAGATAAAACTCTCAAGTTGGGTTGTAGGTTCTTTGAGAGCAAGGATGGAATTTTATAGTATTTTTTAAAAAAGATTTATTCATTTATTTGGAAGGTAGAATTACTGAGAAGCGGAGGCAGAGAGTGAGAAGTCTTTTGTCTGCTGGTTCACCCCGCAAGTGGATGCAACAGCCAGAGCTGAGCCAATCTGAAGCCAGGAGCCAGGAGCTTCTTCCAGGTCTCCCACTTGGGTGCAGGGGCCAAGGACTTGGGCCATCTTCTGCTGCTTTTCCAGGCCCTAGCAGAGAGCTGGATCAGAAGTGAAACAGACTCAAACCAGCGCCCACATGGGATTTTTGGTGCCATAGGTGGAGGCTTAGCCCACTATACCACAGCAGCAGACCTAGAATTTTATACTTTTAAAAAATCTTACTCTGTTCCTAACATCAGTGACTGAAATTATATTCACAGAAACACTTAATTTTTCACATAAATTCATGAATATACTTACTGATTTTTTCATGTTTAAAGCAGGTCTATTTGGCTCATCAGTCCTGTTTTACTATATTATTTTTGTAAAGACACCATTTTCCCTTTAAACCTTGTAGAATTTGGATATTCTGGTACAGCTGGTTGAGTGGTGCTTGGGTCCCCTGTGTCCCATATGGGAGTGAGTGGTTTGAGTCCCTGCTAATGCTCTTCCTATCCCAGCTCCTGCTGATGTTGTTCTAGAAGGCAGCAGGTGATATAGCTCAGGTGTGTGAGCACCTGCTACCCACGTGGGAGACCCTGACCTTGCCCAGTCCTGGCTGTTTTTGAGATTCGGGGAGTGAACTTGTGGTTGGAAAATCTTGTTCTCTGTTTTCCCTGTTACTCTGTCTTGCAATGACATAAAAATAAAATAATTTTTTTAAAAGGGATACAGTGAAATTCTAGTTATTTTGTATTATATTAAGTTCTGTGACACAGAGTGTAATTTTGAGAGTTAATTAGAATGGTTTCACTTTTAAGATTGTTCTCTAGTGTTAGAAAGCAAATTGGAAAGTCAACATAATTGAGGATTTTTTTTCATATTTTTTATTTAATTGAAAGGCAGAGTGACAGGGAGGCTAAGGCAAAGAGAGAGAGAGAGGTCCTCCATCTGCTAGCTCACTCCCCAAAAGGCCACAAGGACCAGAGCTGGGCTGATCCAAAGCCAGGAGCCAGGAGTTTCTTTGAGGACTCCCACGTGGATACAGGGGTCCAAGTACTTGGGCCATCTTCTACTGCTTTCCCAGGCCATAACAGAGAGCTGGATCGGAAGTGGAGCATCCAGGACTTGAACTGGTGCCAATATGGGATGCTGGCACTGCAGGCGGTGGCTTTACCTGCTACACCACAGTGCCAGCCTTTATACTTGAGTTTTGAGATTTGATTATCCTAGAAGCTTATCGTTTAATTTTCAGAAATGCTTGTCTTTAAGAACAGTTGTTCAATGAAGCAGTAAATGAACTCTAAGGTCTCTAAAGGAAGGAAATGCGCTTTGATGAATTGAATGTCACCTTTAAGGAATGAGCCAGTTCAGGTTCTGTCATTGGAGAAGCCAAGATAGAGAACATCTGGTCATTTATTTGGAAGGTAGAATTACTGAGAAGCAGAGGCAGAGAGTGAGAAGTCTTCTGTTCTGACTGCAGTAATACTTTTGAATCTGCTATTGCATATCAGTGTGAATCTGTTCAAGTCTGATGGTTTCTTTGGCGTCAGAATGGTACAATGATCTTCACTATGCCCTTGTTCTTTGGTGATACATGCTGAAATATTTATAAGTGAAGGAGGGATGGCACTGTGGCATAGCAGGTTAAAGCTACTGCCTGTGGTGCCAGCATCCCATATGGTTGCCAGCTCAAGTCCTGGCTGCTCCACTTCCGATCCAGCTTCCTGCTGATGACTGGGAAAGCAGTGGAGAGTGGCCCAAGTCCTTGGGCCCCTTCACCTGAATGGGGGACCCAGAAGAAGCTGGCTTCGAATTCACGCAGCTCTGGCCATTGCAGCCATTTGAAGAGCGAACCAACGGATGGAAGACCTCTCTCTATGACTCTGCCTCTCTGTATCTCTGCCTTTCAAATAAATAAATAAATCTTAAAAAAGAAAAAGTTAAGGGTCATGATGGATTCAGAAAGGGGTTCAGAAGAACAGGGTTTGAGTGTTTGGTTCTGGTATGTATGTATGTATGCATGTATATATATATAGAGAGAGAGAGAGAGAGGGAGGGAGGGAGGGGGAGAGAGAGGGAGGGAGGGGGAAGGAGGGGGAGAGAGGGAGAGGGAGGGGGAGAGAGAGAGAGAGAGAGGGAGAGAGAGGGAGAAAAAGGGTGGTGAGAGGGAGAGAGGAGGGAGAGAGAGAGAGAGAGAGAGGGGAGAGAGAGAGAGGGGGAGGGGGGAGAGAGAGAGCCCGGGAGTGAGCAGAGCCCTCAGGGAAATGTGGTGGATGTCAGCAGTCTGGAATCTGGGTGAGCAATACCTGGGTATCCATTGTGCTTGCAACATTTCTGTGGCTTTGAAATTAAAAAAAAAAAAAAAAAGCTGTGGAGAAGCTGTTTTAAAAAGCACTTTACTGTGCTTCAGTTTCTCTAATTGCAAAATGGGGATAATAGCACTTGATCTTGGCCTACCTTGGCACAGGCAGGCACAGCAGGACAACACCTGGCAGAACAGCAGGCACCTGAGCTCTTTAGGAAGTGACTTTGTCATTAAATACGTGCTTTACAATGGAAGGCTTCACAGAGAACGTGTCATCTAAAAGTGTTATAGCTTGAAGTATATCTATTCCCTTTTAAAATAAAGAGCGTATACAGAGAGGTAACCAATTGAAATCCAGAAAATGAAAAATCCAACTAATTTCTCAGTAAGGTGGTAAAATACATAAGACATAGTTGAACAGAGAAGTTTTTAATTTGAAGATAGAAAAGGGAACTTTCCCTGAATGGCTCAAGGAGATGGGGAGAAGAGGAGAGAAAAACTGAGGTGCCCCAGAGGTGGCCCGAGGGGCTGCGGCATGGTGTGTAGCTGGAGTTTCAGAAGAGCATACCGAGGATGGTGGAGCCGAGACTGAGGAAAAATGAGGAAGGATCTTTAGTCGTGAGAACCATAGTGGAGGGCAGGTGTTGTGGCACACTGTGTTA